TTCTTTCTAGACATGGAGAATCAAAGCAACCAGGCAGAAGGAGGTTTCACGCCTCGATTGTATATTTCTCCTTCTTTTAAGTAGCAATGTTTAACCATGTTGAAAAACGAAACGGGTTACGGGGTGCAACCTTCTTTTATATTTTAAGTATATTTATTCAGAATTCTGCGTTAATGAATATTTATAATCCGAAATTCTTGACTTATATATGACATTTGTGAACATTTGGCAATTCGTAAAGAAAACCACAAATGGAAAATTTGACTTCTTGAGATATTTGTTGGATATTTCAAAATGTATTGATAGGTGTCGTGGTAGATATTCCCCATGTGCCTGGGTGGAGCAGAGCAGTTGGACGCGATTCCCCATTTCATTTTCATTTCATTTCCTCGATTTGAAAAAAAACCCCAGAAGAATTAGATGTGTTCCTCTTGGCTTTATTTTTTTGTTGTCTCGCGATTTTTTTAAAAAATTTTCTAACAATAATTATGAAATAAATATTTACATTATATAATTGATACAACATATTATTATGATATCTGAAAACAAGTCACAACTTATATAATGTATCTCCCGTGATAAATTATTTTTTAAAAATATATACAAAAAAAATTGCATTGCTTAAAATTATATAAATTAAGTTTAAATTAAAACGAGAATATGTTAATTCTCAATGTTGTAATTAATCAAAGAGCTATATCTGATATATCGTGATTTAGTACAGAAATGGGTTGATATACAGAAATTAATGATTAACAACAAGATTTTCTATCTGATGCTGGTAATGGGGATTGAAGAAGCATATAGCTGAGTTGGGTCATCGGTCTAAATCAGATCCAGATCTAACTATATACTATTCTATCCAGTTCCACTTAAAAGGGTGCGAAATGTATCCAGTTTGGCTATGTATTATTCATATAGAATAATTGATGTATGGTCTACTTTATGTACTGGTGTCTAAACATCTAAAGCGAAGCTAAAAGACATTGTTGTTGTTTATTCGCTTCTTCATTTCAATTTAGACTTCATTATTTTACCAAATAGATTCACCCTTTTATTCGCTTACTTTATTTCTAAGGACTTATAAGATAAAACATGTCTTTCCGCTTCTTTTCAAATCCACAATCTGGTTACACCGGTGATAAAAATTTATGAACTGAAAAGAAACGAATGGTTTTGATTTTTAGTACCCAATAAATTTGTGGATCTATTTTTCGCGAGGTTCTTCAATTTGTGATAAAAAAGATTCGTCTATTGTTATTTTAATGTAATAAGGATGTGGATTGCTTGGGTTTAATAGCTTTACAAACTTGAGCTGCCCCCAAATAGTATTAAAGCGTATAAGGTTTCGTATTAATTGTATAAAGATTGTGACATAATCGACTATGGAAGAGCAGGAAACTGTAAAGCGTAAACATTGCATTTCTTTTCACAATTTCTTCAAAGGTGTTAAACATTTTAATTTACATATTAATCATTAGGTTGGATTAACTGAACTTTTTTTTTTGGGGGGGGGGGGGTATTTTTACTCAAAACAACTGTCAATGTTATTAAAGCATAAGCATTGCATTTCTTTACACTATTTCTTCAAAGGTGTTAAACACTCTAATTTACATGTTAATCATTAGGTTGGATTCTCTGAAGGGGGGGGGGGGGGGTACTATTTTTACTCAAAACAACTATCAATGTTATTTATTTTGCAGAAACTTTATTGAAGATATAAAAAAAAAATCATTTGATCTTGAAACAGTGATATATAGAAACCAAGCCATCACTAAGATAGACAAATGCAATCTTTTTATCTCCTATTACTTCACACTGTCCAGATTTTGATGAGAAGGGGAAATGAGTAAATACTTATAGATTTATGAAAATAACGAGGGGATGTTTTTGCATAATAATTCAAATAAATTGTCTTTTTGTACTGATTTTGCTTTCCATATCATAACAATATTTGGAGTTTATCATCCATATTTGCTATGAACCCATTGAAGCCGTTAAGGGTTTGGGTACCGAGATAAATTATTTAAAACATTATTTTTGTACCTAAAATACGTTCACACGTAAAATATTTCTATTTTATATGTTAGTTGGTTATACGGGTCATCACGGTGTTTTCACACCATCAAAACCAAGTGAGAACGCATCAAAACTTCAAAAGAGTCCCTTACCGTGAAAAATAATCTTTTTTTATTGTCGGTGTTTTGTTATGGCAACTAATAGTCTATTTTGTATAATTAGATATATCAGATATTGTAATATGTAAGCGATAACAAACCATAACCTACAACTTTATTTCACTTGACTGACAAAGAGTGAAAGTTGCATAAGTTTTACTGTGTCTTTGATTCTTTATTTTCGTGTTGTTCAGACATTGTATCTAACCACTGATCATATCTTCATAAATGATGTACTCACTGTTTTCACACACAAGTTCTGTGTGCATCAGTATTCATAAGAACAAAAAAAAAAATCTTTATCCAAAGTCCATCTACATGTAGTTTCGTATTTGAGGCGCAATGAGTGTTTATTAGAGTACAAATGTTCTGCAAGTACTAAAATTAAAAAAACCTACCAGGTGAATAAGACGCTTGGTCACTAATCAGGGGGTCCCGAATTCAACCACGAGAGAAAGTTACTCCTGATTTTCGCGTCATCTCCCCTTTTCAGTGGTGCAGGATGAAGGGTCTACCTAGGAATAGCGTCCAATCATTTGGATGAGATGAAAAACCGATGCACACGTTGGCTTGCACGTAAAATAATCATTGACAGAGTAGGCGCATGGAAACGCGACTGTCCGGGTGTATTGCATCTTCATCGTTGCGGAAAGTAGGACGTTAATTCCTATTCCATTTGTATCATTAATATGTATCTGCATGTGGACATTAATTCAGTATAGATTAGAACCCAATGTTTCTGGTACCGTTAATCTGGAAGTTGACTTTTGGACTATGTTAGTTGTGATTCAGGACCTAATATTAGCCGGTAGTTGAAGCCGAAATACATCTATACCATAAACGGCTCCGCAATACAATAAAAAATAATATGGTTGTATTCAAGCGAATTCTTAAGACAATACCAAGAATAATAAATCAAATGTTCATACCAACATCAAAAACATGGTTGATACAAAAATATTTCCACCAATAAAACGAGTTTTAATCTTTTAATTTTTATTTATATTTCTTTTTCTTTAAAAAAAAGTTATGTTTAGGACTTCTGCTTTTGAAATAACCCTAATTTGTATTTAATATCTTCATTGACAGGTTTTCAGTTTTTATTTTAGAAATTCAAAGACTGTTACGGCATATCAAAATACAGACCCACCTTTTATCTATCAGTATGTAGTGTCTTATAATGGCCATCGCTTTTTTAAAAAACTTTCAAGAAAAGGTGTTTTCGGTGCATACATAACTACCATTGTTATCTGAAGGAAAAATCAAAACGTCTTTTAAAACGCCTTTCAAAGATGCTGCTATCTGAAAATCACACATAATTTTCGCTTATTGGAAAACTATTGGATAGCGATAGAGCATTTCGTGGGGGTGATGAAAGCGTAGTGGAAAATAATACAACACTGAATAGCGTCGAGAACATCTACCAGAGCATCATTGAAAAAAAATCAAGGTTTTTTTTTAAAATGATGAATACAAACATCAGCGATGTATAGAAAGGGTGTATAATGCCTGATTGTTAAATTTATCAAGCGATGTTATGAGTAGATAATTAGAAAAGCGTACCGTAACCATATTACATATCATGCATGTATATCTTTGTACTGACAATAAGCTATAATAGTCTATTATATATCCACTATTCCTTACATCTCTTTCATCTTTTCATCTGTAAATTTTATATCATGTTAATTATGACTACGGGCTTTCATACCATAACTTGAACACATGTAAGGGTGGATTTCGCATCTATGAGACGTAGTAATTGGTCTTGATTTGAGCTACTGACATTGACATTAAGGACAAAAAAACTTTTAACGAACTCAAAATTTATTTTCTTCATAAAAATTAAGTCTTTCTCAAAGGTTAACCCAACTCATGGATATATAGTTATTTCTTAGACTATTTGTGTTCCGGTAGAAATAATGTGGCGCATTGCAGAGACCAGGTCTAAACTTAAGCACATTAATTTCAATATTACCGTGTTTTATTTGTGAAGTTGATGAGATATGAAATCGTGCATGTCTTTATAAGGAAATATATTTTAACAGTAACTTTCAAATATTAAAAATTATTTATTAACGGTTAAGGTGTATTTATTTATAAGGAAAGATATTTTAATTGTAACTTTCAAATATTACAAATTATGTAATAAACGGTTAAAGTTAGAAATAAAACGGAAAATTAAGCTATTGTCAATCGGTTTTATATGAGCCGGGAGAGTATAAGTATGGGAAAATTAGAAAGCGTGAATCTTCATATTTAAATAGCGAAACGGTTGTTTAACAACGACACCCATCTTTGCTCAACTTTTATACATAAAATGGTTTTGAAGCGGCGATAATGAAGTAATTATAGCGAATCAAACAAGCGAGCATATTCTCCCTTAGACTTGACAAATTTATTTTTCAGCTAAGCAAAGCGGAACGAAATGATAGCTGGGGTCTATAATTCGTTTCGCGTCACTCCAAATATTGTATAAATGTTTATTGTTAGTGTAGATGGGTATGAAAAGTTTTATAAAGAAAATATATTATACATTTTATCGTTTCGGTTTATATATGTACTTTGTGATATTTCTTTTGCGTTATGGATTGACATGGTGATCTGGTCAGAACAGTTTGTGGCAACTAGTTACTGGGGTTTACTATATATTATATTTATTTGAATAGAAGTATACATAAACGTTGGGGGGTTTCGGATGGATTTATTTGATATTTAATGTTGTAAACCCATTTCTTATGTCCAGTGATAAGACAGCTTGTAAGTACTTTAATACTCATCATTTCAGTCGACGTAAAATGGTTTAGTTTGACATCCCGTAAACGTAGTTGAAAACTACTGCTCGGCAAAGTATAAATATTTATTATGCCTTGCTGATATCATAATATGGTTCCAGCACGTTTGTGTTGAATGGGATTAAGTCGGAGTTACTCATTAGGTCTTACTTCGGCATTTAACAAACTTGAGGGCGCATATTTTAAAACAAGTATCCTATTTTAGTCGAGTGCGAAATCGTCATTTAATATGGCCGTAACTTTCGACTAGCTGAAATCAAATCATTGTTAGTTTTAGCAGGATGAAAATGACCTACGAGGGTCATCAATATCCCAGGCTTGCCATCATGAATATATTTGTCCGTTCTTTGGAGGTTTTATTACATAATTTGTTTCAATTTTATTTTACAGAAATATTGATCTATATTACTAGTCCTGATATGAAGATGCCGCATACAGGTAAAGAACTCAATAATGTATAATTTATAACTTATCTTTTGATAAAGCACTGTTCTGGTGGGGTGGAGGGGGTGTATAATTTTATTTTGTTCCCCTATAAATTTAAAAGTATAATATATAGATAAGTTTTTCTTATCATTATTTTAAAATCTGATGTTTAGTTTAAAGGTTAATTTTCTTGGACGACAAACTCTCTTTGTTGAATATTGTACGTCTATGGATGATATCGGAAATTGTCCCCCCCCCACCCCATTCCCCTTCCCTGTTTTGTTCCAATGTCGACACAGTAAGCCAAAAATGAAATCAAAATAGTAAACAATCAAAATTTCGCATAATCTTTCAAACGAAAAAAGTAAGAGTTGAGAACAGACCCAATCACCAATTCAATTCAACCCTTTTTTTTGACCGTATGTTTAGCTAAGTTATCTGAGAAATAAAATCCAGTATTGACGACGCACATCAACATAGATGGGTGGTTAAGAGTTTTAAAATCTTTTGAAGTCTGAAACTATATGCGTTTGAACACGACAGCCAGTGGGGATTAAATACTCATACAATATGCAAGTACTAATTATCTTGTGTAACTAGAATTAAACAGGTATAATGTAAAAGCTATTATCAGACTTGTTGCACGACAACATCCAAATAAGCTTACGAGATACCTATAGATTTTCTTCGATTCAAGCTTGTAATTTATTTATTTGATGAGAATTACAGCTGAAACAAGACTAGTAACACGAATATCGACATTAGATAAGGTTAAATGAGCAACTGCAATCTATACCAGATATAGCATTTGTTTAACTCTATGAAATAATAATAACGTGTATTAATCTGGACTATAATTATTTTAGAACCACTCAAAGAATATATACAATGAACAAAGGTGGGATAGTATTCGGAAAATCAAAATATTATACCAATCTGTTTCGAAGGGTATTCTCTCAACGTTATCAAGCTAATATAGCAATACAAATGTGCGGCAAATATTTCGATGATACTCTAGAAAATATTTATTCTTTCTGGACCCATGACAATACTAACCTATTCCGCATTGAGTTTTCAACTACTGAGACTATTCCTAATTCGAATACTTTGTATTTAAGTATGTAACTTTGTTTCTCAATTTTTATATCAACTTTTAAAAAGAAACGTGGACATTGTTTTTGTCACATTTAAAGCAAAATTTAATGATTTTATTTTTGTCTGTTGATTTTTTTGTGACAGAAGTTTATTGAATGTATATAATTATATGTGTTTATAATTTATAACAATATTAATTTACTACTTATGATGAGGGAGAGATGGGGTTTAACGTCCACTTCACACAAACTAGATTATTTCTGGACTAACATATGGTTTAATTTTATTTCAATAATTCGCTTGCGCGTAAGGGTCTTTATTAGTGGGATGAAACCAGAAAAAAACACGAGGATGGACAGGCGACTCTACTCCTTGTCACGTACAAGAGGGAAATCGAAACCACGCCACTTGACTCAATGACAGACCTTATGATCCAACGCGCACGCGTTAACATCTCGGCCACCCACCCTCCTAATATTATGATAAGCTTATGATAAGCATTATGATAGAAGCTCTATAATATATTATATACATGTACATGTATATACATTTATGGAATAATTCTATTGACATAAAATCATGTAGAAAACTCAATTAAATATAATAGTTTATAGAGTCCAGTTGACAAGATTAAAATCAATTATGTTTTACTTTACAAGTCATATTAACATTAATATTTTATGGGATTTGGATTTTATATGTAAATATTATGTTTATATTTTCAATATATTCGTTATATTTTTACGAATTTTAATGATGTATTTGTATCTTTTAAATTATTATAGGCGAGGGATATGTTTATAAATAGATACGGTTAGCTAACTTAAAATAGCCAAGTCTCTAACTCAATATCATCCAAAGTCTTCGACATTGAAAACACGAATTATTTGTCAATTTAAATCAACATTAATGTTGAGATCTTACTGGGAAAAGATGGATTTTTGATATTTAATATTTAAGACAAATTAAACATTTTACTATTGGTACACGAATTGTGTACCGTAATGCGTTTCAGCGCTATTTGCAAGAAGTGACTCGAAAAACGAGACTAGACATATTCCACAAGTCATGTCAAACGGTGACGCCATATTTTTATCTGGAGAACATGCGCAATAAATACTATCGGTGAAGACTGGAATAACCAGACGCTAGAGACTGCCATTCGATTGAGACTTCTGGCGTATTTCGCCGAACATAACTGATTTGAAATTAGAGTAAAAACTGAAACGATTGAATGTAAATCAGTTTATATACATTCATATTACATTAATTTATGCGTTGCGACCCATTTGTGTCAATTTCTAGGTCCCAAATATTAGCTATTTAGCTCCTTTAAATAATGGATATTATGATACATATGTATTTATATTAGTTCCAAAATTGTTTTCAGTAACATATGTAGGGTCAATAACTTGCAAATAAATCACTTCAGTATTTAGTATTCCTTATTGATTTTACGTTAATCTTTCCTGTGACGCTGTAATGGGTGGTTTGAGCTCAAAATATATGATAGAGACAAAATATCAGTAGATTCAAATCAGTGTTTCAATATTATCCAAACTATCGTTTTTAACTCGTTAAAAAACATATTGAATAGCTTATAATAGTGTATGATTTTGATATTTACTCCTCATTTTGAAATTGATTCAGATTACATCTCTTGTCGGAGGTGGCGGCGAACTTTGATGTTGACGCGTTACTTGTAGGTCCACAATAAAACATTGAATAATAATACATAGTTAAGTTCCACATGAGTTGAGTATAATGCTCTTTTCTCCCTTTTCTTCTTCATCAACTGATTGTGCTTTTCAGTCCCTGCAATTTTTATAGCTAGGGCGAAATTATCGTATTTTGTTGTGCGTGAATCGAACTATATGGGTAGAAACTTTGTAATGATGCGAAGAAAATTATCTAAAAGAATTTGATGAAGTATAACCTTATAAAAAGGAATATTCAGTTCTCCCCTCGCTCTATTAAAACAAGTTAAAAGGGCCGTTTTGAGATTGAAAGTCGTTTGCGTTTCGTTTGATGACAAGATGAGATTTTAAAGAGACCGTGTTCATTACACTTATCAGCGCCATCTTTTTATGGAAGTTTATTACGCGAGAAATTTTAAACCTATATGTTAGTTGATAGAGTTGATGTTTGTGGTTTCAGTGGTTTGAAAGCATATGACGAGAACGTACAGGTTATTGATAGCTAACAAATACAATTAGAAATGATTGCTATTATTAGACCCGTATATAGATGGAGGCATGGTCTTCTACAGTTTGTACAGCTGCCTCCATGATAGAGTATCAATAAAAATCATCAAAATCAAATACAGTATTCATTATTTAGCCGAGACAACTCACAGACATTAATATGATCAACATTATTAAAAATTTATATTTAATTAATCATTACATGAATATTTCGAAAAGTTTAATGGGCAGCCACACTCTTCAAATGTTTGTTATAAAGTTTCAGCGCTAAATATTTTAAAATTCGTTTGAAAATATTGCCAAAATAGTTAATAGGGGTTACGTAGCTCATTTAGAGTGTCGCGCTTCAGTATTGAATTGAAATAAAATGGGGATTAACGCCATACTGTTCTGCTCCGACAGGGCTAATGGAGACTGGCATACGCCATACAGTGTACTATGAAGTAAATCTTGCCCGGACGACTATACGTTATCCCTTGCTACACCGGGAAATCCTGATGAAATTGCTTGCGCCAACACCGGGATCGAACATGGGACCTCCAGGTTAACGAGCCAACGTCTTACTAACTTGCCTTAAATTTTCAAATACAGAATAGTTAATGCGATCTTTAATATTATGCTTCTCGATAAAGTAAAAGTAGATAGCTGCACTTTAATGTTAGACGTTCTCTCCTAGAAACGTTCTCCTTGCGATTCCTCTTTTTTTTTTAAAAATCGCAATTCCTGGTACACAATTTATTTTATTCATTTTCAGGTCAGACTGGCGTCAACCAGCTAGGTGGTGTGTTTGTCAATGGTAGACCACTTCCAGATCAGGTTCGCAGACGTATCGTGGAACTTGCGCAGATGGGAGTCAGACCATGTGATATTTCCCGCCAATTATTGGTATCTCATGGCTGTGTCAGTAAAATCCTTACCAGGTTCTACGAAACGGGTTCCATTAAACCAGGTTCTATAGGTGGCAGCAAACCTAAGGTAACTGTTATTGATAAATCTTGACCTCTTTTCCAAAACCTGATATGTACCATTAAACCTTCCATTTCTCAGAACCATTTATATATTTCATAAATCGGTGAAACAGTATCCATTTGATTTATAAACGGAACAGGTTATTTTAATTTAATAAGATATAATCATGATCTTGTTTTGGAAAAGTGTTTCACTCCACCCCAGACACTATAAAATTTAACACTGCGATGTTTGTAGCTAATAATCTGCAATGCACAAATCTATTTTCGGAAAATGTTTCTCAAACCGTTTCCCCCCATTTACAATTCTAATTTTATCACTTATTAAAGCTGGATGCCTATCCTATGGACATCAGTGTAGCACTTATACTATGCTCTACGTCAAAGTCTATAACTAAAATCACGAATTAGGTTTATCAACATAGCGAGCGACATTAATAACCAGTCTCAAAATATTTTACCTCTCTTTTCAGCAAGTTGCCACACCTTTAGTTGTAAGGAAAATTCTAGAATTGAAGCAGCAGAATCCGTCCATCTTTGCTTGGGAAATTCGTGATCAACTTTTGGCACAAACAATCTGTGATGAGAACACCATTCCGAGTGTTAGTTCTATCAATAGAATATTGCGTAATGCTAGTATGTGTACGGAATTTCCAATGGATGCTGAGATTCTGACTTCACGTTATGGTCCGGCAGGCCCAGCACGCCCTGCATTAACATTTATGCCAAGTAGTCGATATCCAACACCGTGGTACCCGTTACCAATACCAGGTCTATCGTATCCCAGACTAGTCCAACCACTTGTTGCCGATCTGGAAACCAGTAAGCGATTAGGATTGGACACCTCATCCGGTGATCCCACAATATTGGGCAGCTCAAGTCTGCCCAGCGATAAGCCCCGATCAGCAAGAACTTTAGAAAGAAGTGAAGGGTCTGCGTTTAAAAAAAGGAAAAGTGACGTTGCAGGTAGGTCGAGATATATAATTATTTTTACTAATGTTGTGTTTGAAATGGATCATGTCGTATTTTCATTATTTACAATTTTCTAAATTGACAATAAGATACGAATTCACGTTAAAGATACTCTGACCGTTGGTAATCGAAATGAAAGTGGGTCGTAATGCTGCTGTTCTGGCAACATTCCTCTCAAAGGACACTGCACAGCATATGCCCGTATTCCTTATCCCGGTTGATGCAAACAAGTAAGACATAAAAATACATTTCATTTCATTTTCATCAACGCAACCCTATTAACCTGTTTATGTCTTCTTTAATTTCTCCTGACACCCCCCACCCTCCATTGAACCCTACGTGGGAAAAATACATATGTATTATAATATGATCCTTGAGTGGCATTTAGTGACTGAGCACATTAAAAAAACACAACACAATTTATATGGAAAACAATCACTGGTTTATACACATATAGCACGACGTTTCGACAAGTATTCTCTATATAAATTGTGTTGTGTTTTTTTTATTATAATATGTAGATTCGAAATGACTTGGTTGTGTTGGGTGGGTGTAAAACCCCAATTTTACGATTTCCTGGTTAAATATTCGATTAAATACAATGAACTTATTTTACAAACCCGTGCATTCGATGTTTTTTGGGGGTTACCGTTTATAAAATAAAACAAACAAAAAATCTAAAAACCAATAAAATCATTGGAACATATAATTTCAAGAATAAATCCTCAAAAAAGAAGCTTCCATATTGTCTAATTACCCTGAATTAAAATTTGAAAAAAATGGGAGCATAATTTTCTGAAAACGTAACACTGGCTTTTTTTATCAGCCACCGAAACATTTCAAGTGGTTTTTGCGACATATGAATCACGAAAAGCAATTTACCAACTGTCGTTCATTTACAAATTCAGTTTTAACTTTAATTTTATTGCCATAACAAAAACTGGTAAAATATGGAAAACTCACAATTAGGTGAGAATTAACAAAATCTGCTTCACCAATTAATATACGATCTGGCCTAAAAAAAATTGGGAGAAAAATAATAGAACAGACTGAAAAATTAATACATTGTATCGAAAAAAAACCCTGAGAGTGATTATTTTTTATCATAGAATTTTCGTAATAGCAACATTTAAACATTTTAAAAAAATACTTATACCTTTTTTCTGTTAAATTTTAATATGGACAAATAACGGTTAGGCAGAAAAACATGATCTTTGCCTGAAAAATTAAAACATTGTATCAAAATAATTGATATTAATTTTTAACATCATAGAAATAAGCAAAATATTAACATTTAAACATTTAATTAATACTTATATACCTTTTTTTCTATTACAAGTTTAATATGGGCAAATAACAACGGTTGGGTAAACAAAAATGATCTTTGTCCGGTCATCGAAGTTTTTCTCCATTTTTGGATGATATTCTAACATATTTGTAAGAATTTTCAAAGGTTCAAATAAATGTGTCGTGAAAGGTCATGATCCTAAGATCAAACGAAAAAAAAACTATTATGGACGATACAGAACAAGTTCTTTCTTTACCAAATGCTTAATATGAAATTCATAACTTTCACGTAACAATGGCCAAATGCTCGCCCCATATGTTCTCTTAGCGATACAAACAGAGGAAATCTGGAAGAAACCCTAGAAAACATGTCAACTGTCAATTTACCTGGTTCTTTTGTGAATTTAAACAATTGAAGACGACAAATAAAACAGATTTGTTATAGCTTAAAAGTAAATTAAATCCGTCATCGGCCGTTGAATTTTTTTATTTTTCCTTGCTCGTCACGTCAAGATGGCCGTCAACTTCACAGGTTAATTGTTGTTGAATAAATGTCAAACTTTTCATTTTAAAAGGAAAATTGAAAGACGAAAATAAAGCGAGCTTATCAAGCAAATATCAAGAAAGCGTTTGTGTAAAGGAAAAATATCGACATCTTTTCGAGTGTTTTAGAAATTGTTTTATTTGACAGGAATATCGTGTACACGTCAAGTTTGTGTTTTGTAATTTGGACGGTGGTGAAAAGTGATGACGCGTGGAAACTTTGTATCTGCTTCAAGCACTAAAAACCACTTAGTGAAAAAAATAGTCAATAGAAGTTAGTCCAAAAAATATCAGCTGCTCATAATTCCCACAGAATGTACCAATTATATCTATTTTATTTATACAAATTGTTTACTTGTAAAGGAAGCCCAAGAGTTTAAAGGCTCAATACCACTCTTGTTGTAACTGAATAATATGTCCCAATCTTTATTCTGGTCAACAAATTGTACTATTTTACAATATTCCAATTAATTGGTGATACAAATTTCATCTTAACATACCTAATTAAAAAAATTGGAAAAATTCAACTAAATGATTTGAAAAGCCTAACGTAAACCTTTTCAAATTTGACTTGGATTTAAAAATATTTTCGAACCCTCTGGACAAGTAAAATAGGATTTAATAGATAATTTACACAACAGGTAGGGCACTTAAACATCTAGTACTTAGAATAAGGCTATTATTTATTTTCTGGAGCTGTCAAGCCAGCAAGAGTGTTATTGTCCCTTTAAAGATAGATCATATTTAAATTAATCTGAATAATCACGAAGCCTATATTTTCCATATACGCTAGTGATGAATCAGTTATCTAATAATATGTCAATATTAGGATTAAAATTGTATTTTGGCTGTGTGAATTTCTCGAGTTAATTTCAGCCCAGGTACACTATGTGACAAAATTTCTGTTTTTTCAATTAGTGATAATTATTCTTTTTATTCGAGATTATGCTGCTTGATTACTAATCATGAATAAATTAGATACAGCTTAAGAACAGCACGGTAGATTTTAATTGAAAGTAGGGGAGTTTAACACGTTAAATGAAAATTTTGATCAGATTTAACAAGAAGATGCGAAACGAATATTCTCTTATTAAATTGAACCATAGCCAACACATGATATTATCATAAAATTACATAACTGTCGTTAGGTTCAATTTGAAGTGCGGTCAGGTCATCTTGAGTGTTTAACTCGGCCTTCGACAATAAAGATATTTTCAGATAGTGCGTCTAACAATAGTTGATCGCGTGCGGATATCAAATTTTTGTCGCTAAAGGCCAAGGGATAATTACCCATCATTCTCTTCCAGTCCTGCTCACGAGCGCTTGTGGGAAGCGCGAGGAAATGACTGTTACTTTCATTAGTCTTATGGCAGGTGTTTTCCCGTCTCGCTTCACTGTGAACGGTCATAAGATTTGATTAAAGCTTCGAGACGGCTAAATTATTCCGTCGTAAAAGATTATAAATAATTTACAAGAGTGTGAAGACGATAGTTATCATGTTTACATCCCTCCAAGGAAAAGCTTTATGCGTGCTTTAATGATGAGATTAGCACTTTATCATCCCTCCATCTTTTCTTTAGAATAATAATGATTTTATAACAAGTGGCTCCCCCTAGTTTCCTTTCTCGCCTTTAAATATTCCATATATTCACAACAAAGAGGTTATTTTGTTTTAATAACTTTCTTCAACTGGGGACGGACACTTATCGACAAGCAGAACAAAGTCTCGCGATATGGTTTCGCTTCCATGGGTTTAGGAGAGATCTGTTTGAAAACTGTTTAACAACTCTTCATAAAATGGTGTCAGCTTTATCAATAGCGAAATAAAATTAACCGTCTAATATTTATATATATTCATACAACTTCTGACATCTCAATCACAACTGTGTTTATCCGCCGTAACAAAATAGCCCACTCAATCACCGTGAAATGATAGGTACCAATTACCTGTCAAAAAACACGTTATTGTGCGTGAAATGCTGAGACTTTGCGTTTGATTTCGAGAGTTTTAATAACACTCTTATCTTGTCCTTCACTATTTTCAGACACGTCAAGTGACAACCAGACGACACCCAACAAAAAGATCCGAGTTCAGAAAGAAGATGGTGACAAGGAAGGGGAGATAATTTTACCGACCCCCCAAGAAGAAGAAATCAAAATGGCGGACAAGTGTTTTAAGCCGCCAACCACGAGTTTTTCAAAAGACAATAAAACATTTTATATGGGACTTAATTCAAGTCTGGGTTCCCCTGTTGGAGTGTTCTCGCGTGATTCTATATGTGTTCCTAGAGTAATGCCATATCCAATTGTAAGCAGCAGTCTAACTCTAGGACAAATCCCACATGGCCATTCCGTCAATCCTTTCTACCCATTCCATATAAGTTCTTTCCGAAATGGCGTTGGACATGTTGCTCCTACATGAACATTATTGTAAAGGTTCACCAGATCTAGCGGTAAAAAATCCCCAGTTTCTACTGTCTACGTTACCAAATAAAGAAGACAATTATCTACTGGAGAGAATAGCTTCATGGTTAAGCTAAGGCCAGGATCGGTGTAGACCTACATAATAGACCTAGGCCTAATTGTTACTTAAGTGCAATATCACATGACGTGAAAATATTTCAGATGTAAAATCGCTTATAACTAATTTCATGGAGGAATTAAATACGTGAACACATCTCTGTATAGCCTATGTGGAAGAGATTCTGAGATTCTTTTTGGCTAAACAGCATGCTACTAACGTGTTCTTCCAGGGGTTTGTGAACATTTTACAGAGTCGACAAACATCTAGGATTAACTGTAGAAAGAGAAATGTCATGCATTTTTCTACGTTCGCGGCCGCGTGAATTCCAGAATAACCCTTACCCCGCAATTCGTTATTGATAGGGCTACCATTTCTGGAAATCCATGGCTATCACCGTGTTCATGTGCTGCTGACCATATTTGGGACAAAATGTATGTTTAAGTTAATAGATAAAAATATGTATAGTGCATATATATTTATTTGTAACAAGTACGTTTGCAAGAAATAAAATATTTGAAAACTCGACCTTTATGATTTCAAATGCGACACATCAATTTAATTTGCATTTGTCCAATAACGGTATTCGCCACTTATCTTACTATATCTCTTCAGCAAACCTGTATCCAATGCTATGGTTACACTGTCGATATTTTGCCGTAAATCGTCACAATTGTGTCAGATTTTCATCTTTTTGACAAAAACGTTGACAATGCAGCTTAATAGGCAATACAGGTCAACTATCCAACAAAACACAGAAGTATACAGAAGATTGTCACGTATATGTACGTATGTGGACTCATCGATATGCGATAGCCTTATTTTTTTAAAAATAAATTGAATAAACTAATTTTCGTTTAAAAAGACAACAAAAATATAATTTCACTGATTTTAGGTTTACATATTTCATATTGCTCCAGTTATCTGTATAACTAACAAAACAAAACACACAATATTTTTACGGCACCGACTGGTCTAATAAAGACGGGCATACGCCACACCTTGTGCTACGAGGTAAATTTTGCCCGGACAGCGGCACTATGTATGGCCCACTCTTATGTCTTATATGTACACGGTACCTCGGTTTTTCGTCCTATCCCAACGACTATACAGCTGTCCTTAGATTTATGGCTCCGTGTCATTACTTCCTCGTCAGCTATTACCTCCCCTTAAAATAATTCGATTTTGACAAAAACTACAAACGGGTTACATATTGATTTCAATGTTGCATGGTTTTAACCTTTTCTTTGGACCGAAGCCTCCTGTGACAGACGGAGCTACATTTCGCACTGTAATCCTCCACAGGAGACCATGAAAATTTCGATACCGACAAACTGCAACTAAAATATAACTTAAAACCAGTTGTCTGGTGACAATGAGTACGTGAGTAGCAATACTCATGCCCGCAGCCACAGTGACTTTTGCCCCATTATTGCTATCAATTTTTGCGCCAGAAAATGGGAACGTCGAAATTAATAGAAACAAGTTTCGGGACTAATGATAGGTAAACCTAAAATTCTGAAATCGAAAATATATTAACGTTTTCATTCTTCTAACGACTATAACCTGTTTTTTTAAAAATAAAAAAATATATAAACGCAACTCCTCTGGTTGTTTTCCGATATTGTTAATGACAGTGCAGGGCTGCGCAAACAATAGAAAATGATCGAATTTCTGCAGAATTTCCTTCACACAGGCCTGTAGATTTATAGCCTAGTTAAACTGAATATGCTCCCATAAAATACCCCCTTGCCTCTCTTCTCCTTACATCATTGTCAATGGGTGCATACACACAACACAACTTTACACATCTAATTACCATACGATACCAAACAAAACAATGCTATCGAAGTATATTGAAATCTCAACTTTCTACATTCAAGAAATGGTATCTGTATTCACCCGTTATCAAAAGGAATAGTCAAAGCGAGTTTGTTTAAGAAGAATAAATTAAATTCTCTACCAGATCTCTCTGCCATATTGAATTACTGATGTCCCAGCACGTGACCAACATTTGATACTATCTGCGCACGTGTTCTGTCCATATAACTGTCAAATCGCCTGTTAAATATTCCCTTTTAGCGCTTTACCTGTTGTATGTACTGACAACTGATTATATCAAAAAACACATATCTTGTTAACCTCTGAATATCTTGTTAACCTCTAATCTCAAAGCTTCTGTAAGGGGAGATAATTCCATTAATAATAATTAGATTTGGGCGGGATACAGTTTACAGTTCTATCTGGCTTTCTATTGTTTTTTGTTGCATAGTGTCAAAATAAATCTATTTTATGCAAAGCAACAGCCCTCGGCTTAGGGCTTAGTTGTAGAAATCACTTCTAGCCTGATTTACAAATACCTGTGTTGAAGGTCAAGACAGAATATAGACGCCTATATATTTAGATTTGAAATTACAGTTAGGTGTCTGGTAGTTGAGATCGTAAAAACATTTCAAAAGAATATACTCATACTAACGGGGAAAATAGATTTGTTATCAAAATAATAAGGATTATTATATCTTATTATATTACTTGACTTCGGGAATGGGTTAGTAAAGAAATCGAGATGGTATATTAAAAAAAACGGAGACATCAAATAAATAATATTTATTAATCTGGAGATAATCAGGAATACCTGAAATAATCGGAAATAAATTTATGCCTAGCTTAGCTACGTGGTAAAATCCTTGAAACCATTCAACTGAGATGCAATATTTAAGAGCTAAACCTACCTATTGCAGAATTCTCTTTTGCCATCACATGTGATACCAAGTCTATAATCAACTATCTAGACCATCGGATGTGTGTGATTTTTAACAGATTGAAACACGTTCGAAATTTAATTTAAAAGTGGATAATCGAGACATTTTTATTATCGTAACAACGGTAGCAATGGAAATCGAGACTATACTATTTTGAAACTGTTTGTTATCTAATTTTAATCTAAATCTTACATAAAGCACAGTTAGCAGACGGGGCTAAATATACATGACATACGTTTATAGCGGGTTACAAACATTTAATCCGCTATCTGTAATACATATAAAGGTAAAAGTAATAATACTAATTTTCAAACATTAGTTCACCCAAATGTAGATTTGAAAGTCTTGATATTCTTTCCCATGCCATTATTTCTAATGTGCACATCGAACAATTTCACTTCTGACTGAGAAATAGGACACAGGTCACCAAATATTCCTACGCCGTCACCCAACAAGGGCCAAAGCTATTTTTAGTCTTCCTCTCCCTTTTCCTTTTACCCCTTTTGCATGGCAATTTTTGTTGATTTTTTTTCGTGTAGAATCGAAGAAAAGGGTTTGAAAATACATTTTCTGCCAGGTTTTGGTGAATATTCATAATTTATTTTGATGTGGAAGGATACAAGAGTTAAGAGGTTGGTAAGGTTGAAATGCAGGGCCTGAAATTGCATGTTTACCTGTCTCTATTTCCAGCTTGTGTATCTCAAGTTTTTCATGAAGAACCTAATACGCGCTTTTGGGCAAGTGGTTGCCACATGTTGCTCCATCTGTGATAGAAAGCGTTCTACCCAACGAAAATTTGGGAAAAAGTTAGAGCCGGTCTGCCAAATGACGTCCATACAAACAATTATGATCTATACTTCCTCCTTGTTAGTTCTGTGTTATCTTTGATGTCTAGCTGGGATTGGTTAAAAATATTTCTGTCGAGATAGGTCAATTTAAATCAACATTGATGCTGTTATATTACCGTGAAAAGGTGGGCTTTTGACATCCAATATTTAAGATCAAATGAAAATTTTAAACTTGGTAGACGAATCGCGCGCCAGAATGCCTTCGGGCGCCAGTTGTAATGAGCTACTCGGTGAACGAGGCTAAACATATCCCACAAGGGAAGACTACCGGAGTAGAATGGAATAACCAAACGCCAAAGACTGCCATTCAATATGCACTCTTCGCGTATTTCGCCGAACATTGGAAATTACAGTAAAAACAAAAAAGATTGAATGTAAATCAGTTTATACACATTCTTATTACATTATTATTGCGACCTATTTCTAGGTGCCAAAGAATAGCGATTTAGCTCCTTTAATTACTAGTAAATTGAGTGAAATCAATCGGTCGAACAAAATATCGAGATATAATATCATTAGTATGCACATGATTGCTTTTCGATTACTGAAATCTAATTCACTCATCCCCTAAATATAGGTATAATACGTCTCCTAAAACCGCTCCAAGGTCCCGTCTTCATTAGCCCAGTATAGGAGCAGAACAGTGGAATGACGCCCATCGTTATGCCAGATATCAATTGTCATTTAAGATATTCGAATGCAAAAACATATTATAAATATAGGTATCAAAAGACCCAGCAGGACATACAACAGGTAGATCAATGGACAAGGTCGGGCTGGCTTATAACTGGTGACGAGGTCGGTGAGATACTGGGGAGCCTGGTTGTTGATGCACTTGAAGACAAGTAGGAGGATCTTGTATCGTATCCTGTATAACACCGGGGAGCCAGTGAAGTTTAGCACGGACATGTGTGATGTGGTCGAACTTCTTTGTGCCTGTGACCAGTCTGGCTGCTGCATTCTGTACACGCTGTAGCTGTTGCATGATGTAGCCGGGTAGACAGTGAAGCAGGGAATTACAGTAGTCTAGACAGGGGGTTGTGTAGGCATGGACTATCGTGGAGGCAGTGACTTCGATGAGACTGATATTCCGCAGATGGCCTACATGGAAGTATGCATCCTAAATGTCGTTAGACTGGATAATTCTGGGTCTGTACTTGGACAAATCAGCAAACAACATTTCTTGGCGTACATACAAAAAGAACAGCGTTTCAAATTATTGTCTGTATAAGATACATGACGGAGAACTAAGTCGATTAAACATATATGCGTTGCATGCAGAGTTTTCATGACAAGTCAAAGCACACTTGATCCTGCTCTTTGTCATCGACATCGATAAAGCATCTTCCAGTTTGAACTCCTCATACATGCACCGAAACAATGAATTACTAGGAGGGTTGGTTGCAATCGTCTTAAACTTTTGTGTAGGCCCTGCAATTAAATTAAAACAAGTACGTATTATATTTATAAATGAAATGAGCCTAATATCTTGCCTTTCTGCACCAACCGGGCTAATTAAGACGAACATACGCCATTATGGAAATTCCGAATGTTAAGGATTCATTTACTTGCACGCCAACGTGTACACGTATGCATGCCCACCCGAGCGACTAGACTGTTCCTTGCCAGACCCTCCGCCCTGTACCACCCGAAGAACTTTCTCAACCAAAAATGAGACCGAACCCGGGATCTTCAGGTCAGTGAATTCCATCACCATTGTAAGATTTGTACATTGATTTTACACCCAGACTAAAAGGTATCGAACGTGACGTAATGACGTAATCAGGATGCAGCCCATCAAAGATTTTCCCAT